GTTGCCTGGAACAGCGACAGTGGTGACATGAAACAATCTCGCCAGCAGATGGAGTCACGAGCAGAGTTAAGCAGATTATGCATAATTCCAACTGTGAAAAACAAATAGTGTGGTGCAAATATAAAATTATCCCAACTGCAACTGCTACTTTTTTTCCTTGGGAAATATACATTTTCATTTAGGAGTAAACTGTGATTATAATTTGATGCTTACAATATGGCATGCTACCACTGTATAATAAGTCGTGACACAAAAACAGTAACTAATCATGTCTTCAGCATTCAGCAACGTGTGATAAGCGGTTTTACAAAGGCACCTTTGCTTAATTTGACGGTACGAAACACAGCTGGGGTTTGGGGGTGTGACCACTTCGCGTCTCAGCAGCGCCGGAGTCGGATGAGGAGTGTGACGAATTGCTGTCTTCCACAATAAGGTCTTAGGGACTGGTGATTTGTTTTCCTCACCGATTTTATACTCTTCTGACAATGAGAAGATAAGACAGTGGTCCTCGCCTGATTTAACCTCAGGACTCACATTTTCTCTTGGTCATGAAGCTATGAAATTATCACGCAAATTTCTTAAAATTTAGAGCAGATATTCATAATAAATAATGCTTCCTGAATGGAGGGAGGTAACCACCAGTTGAGAAACTGTGACAGAAGAAGAATTTTATTGATCCCAGAGGGAAATTCTTCTGCATACAGCAGCAAAGAACAAAGAAGTTATCTAAAAAATGTACAGTTTGCACACAACTCCGTGTGTTTGCTTACTGACCCTACAAAAGCTGTCCCACAAATTACCCCCCCCCCCCAGAAAGATACTGTGCCACTAGAAGCTGGAGAGACTGTCCTCTCAGCCAATAGGGTGGGAAGTGCCAGGTTTATATTAATCATGCTAAATTACGCAGCGGGCTGTTTCATAATGCGGGCCGCGCTGCTCGCATTCTGCACAGTAAGCAGTAACAGTTTCCTATCCTGGCTGTAGTTTAGCTGTCATTTAATCTCTACCCTTCGTTTCTTTCTTATTAGTTCTTTCCTTAAAAGTCAATTACCAGTGTAGCATTTTTAAAAGCTCGGATTTCTTCAAGCATCACCTGTAATGTCTACTTGATGTGCTTCTTGGCATTTTTTATCACCAAATGTCTAACAGTGGATCAGGTTTGGATCATTACTATAAAAATGAGGATTATCTGCTGCCCTTAATAATATCCAATACATTTTACTTCTTGTCTGCAACATTTTTTGCACGATACAGCGATTCGGCCTTATGAACAATGAACACAATGAGATCTTTTAAATGCAATTCATGTTGAATGTTTTAACGTTATACCCATCTTTGTTTCTTATCTGAATATTAAGATAAAGGTGCATTTATACAAGGGATATCTGTATGGCTTTCCTTTCTTTCGCGAGCCAAATTAGAATTTATGAAAGACAATATTAAAAATATATCTAAATTGGATCATGTGTCTTTATTAAACAATACAAGGCCAGTGATGTTCGCATAGTCTGTAGTACCTGACTCTTCTGTAGAAGTGCCACAAAGCTCCTTCAGTCATCCCTTCCCTCTGATTAAGTGTTGCCTAGGCAACAGAGCACGTCTTACAAAGAAAGGGGGGGGGGGCGGGGGTGCTGTTTGTGAAGTGTCCTATCTCATGCTGAGCGGTTCCGCTGCAAGAGCAGATATTCCTATGCATGGAGCCGCAGGTAAATAAAGCACAGAAACAGCCGCCAAGCTTGATGATCGACACTAACATGAGGCAGTGCTGTGAGACTCGCCAGGGAAACGGGTTCAACACTGACAAACAAAAAAACAGGATTTTAAAATTACAGTGAAAAAAAAGTTGTATGTTTTCCCATTGATAATTGTGCATTTTGGTGTAATGAGACATGATAAATATTTTGCCTGTGGGATGTGCAAAAATATCTATGCTTTCCATAGTGCAAAAACACTACATGGAAAAATAAAACAATTACATACAGCCGGGCATCTTTCATGAATGCATTTCGAGTACAAGGTCCCAGTGAGCTTGGGCACACGGGGCAGAGGACGCTCTGGGTGGGATGCCAGCACATCACAGGGCAAACACACTCTCGCAATCCCACACTAAGGACAATTCAGAGTCACCTAAACACACATCCCAGGAGTTCATGGACCTACAAAACGCAAGGAGGACAAGCAAATACCCAGAGGAGTTCCCTACCTCTACCGAATACACACATTTGCACAGGGCCCCCAAGGTCACAAACAGTCACCACACTAAACGTTAAATTAACATGCTCCTTATTTAGGAGATGCCAAAGCAGCATGTTCTGCTAACCAGCTAGCTAGGTAGTTATTTTAGGTTTTACAAAATCTGGGGGGACGGATTTTGAGTGCAGCCCCGGAAACAACAAACCCAACCCAGTAAACACCACAGACGCAGAGCCAGGGGAAGGAATCAATTGCACAACCCTGCATGTGGGAGGATCCATGCCGCCATTGGCTGTATACTTACGCAGGTCAACGTTTTAGCTGCACAGTCAGCTAACAGGAGAGACAGCAGGTAACCACAGCCTCCTTAGGTCTTTCACCAGCTGAACTTCAGACCATGTGTCCATATCCTTAACTGCCACCCGACGGGCAACCATCAAAACTAACTAAAGAGATGTGACCCATGCAAGGAGCCACCGGCGTTCCATTTCTGCTGAGAACAGGAGCACAGTTACAGCATAAAGTTGCACACAATCAAGAAATATCCAGGGGCAGGGCCACAGCTGGAAGCTGATTGGCCCTTGGAATTCTAACTCCCTTGTCACTCACCAATTCAAAACATATCATTGGTTAATGATGAGGCTGGCCCCATCATATGAATCATGGCCCCTCTTATGGCCTCCCATCTTAAGAAATCCCAGCAATGCCCCTGCAGACAGCAGACCTTTTTTTTCCTGAAGAATGAATGACTAAAACACCCCCTTTCTGCAGATGAAAAAAGTCCCATACAAGTGTCAGGTCGTGTTACAATATCCGTTCGCTTACCATACACCCTCTCACAGGGCAACTCTTGTAACTTGCAATCTTCCAATTTAGCCAGCAACACAGCAGAATACTTACTGAAGCACTTCATGCTAAATGCCTTATTGAATGGCATTTGGGATTCAACGGTGGCTTGATGCCTAAACCGCCGTACAGCCCCCGGAGTACCCAGACGGACGACTCAACACAACTGGATACTAAATAAATCTGATGATATCCCAGGCTTGGGGAAAAGACAATATTTTCAAAGGTACAACCCTTCAGAACCAGTCTGCAGTAAAAAGTGATGGATTCAGGCCCTGTTCTATGTCCAAGCAATTTATCTTTTACTATGAACATCATGAATTGACAAGACGTTATGAAGATTAATATTGTCTATCCCTTAATTAACTTCAGTATGGCAGCAGGAAGCGGTGAAGAAAACAGACTTATGAACAAGCAGCTCCAGGTTCTAGCATAGAGATGTGTCCTGCTGTTGGTACCCTTGAGGTACGTATTTAACCTGAATTTCCTCTGTAAAACACAGCTGCATGAGCAGCCCACCAGCTGCTTAGTGAAGCGTTCTATTTTCCTTCCAACTTTTTATGAAATTATTTTATTAGCAGCCGCATCTGAATGGCTTGAGGGAATACTTTAAACGCTCAGAAATATTACATTCAGTGGGCCAGTTGGACATTCCTGCTCATGGTAATTTTTCGAGATCCCAGGTGATGAAACGTTAAACACTCACAGGTAATTGCACTCAGCATAAAAAAAAAAGCTGTAAAAGTCACATCTGGCCTGAACAGTGATACATGCATTTCAGAATAACCCTAAAGGTGTGGACGAGCAAACAAACACCCCTGTCACTATTGGGAGGAAATACAAACTGATGGCATAAGTTCTTCCCCTCGACAAGTCCACCACACACTTTTAATGCACTTAGCCTTTTATGCAGTTTCCACCCGCCGGTCGACATTTAATCGTCTGGGAGCCACACGGACTCATTAAAATATGATCGGAGTCTCTAACAAGCACAGAACTTTAGTGTGCTGTTCTTTTGCATCTCGGAAATCATCAAAGAAACAACAAGCATGAAAGAATAATAACTGATAAATATCTATTATTATTATTGTTATTATTAATATCAGGTGGTACGGTGGTGCAGTGGTTCTCACTGTCGCCTCCTCTGAGGTGTGGGGTTTCCTCCCCACAGTCCAAAAACATGCTGAGGTTAATTGGATTTGCCAAATTGCCCATAGGTCTGCACGTGGGTTTGAGTCCCTTCCTTGGTTGTTCCCTGCCCATAGGCTCCAGACCCCTCGCAACCCTGGACAGGACAAGCAGTTGCAATAGATGGATTATTATTGTTATTATTATTATTATTTTTTTTATTATTATTATTATAACAGACAATAGTGGATAATAAATCATGATAACAGTGGAGTAAACCTGTATACATCATTAGGGTTTTTAGACATTAAATGGTGGAAAAAAATCTCAAAGAAAGAAAAACTGAAACACAGTGTCTTTGTAGGCAGTCAGAGAATAAGTGTAGACTAATTCTCCATTTGTTTGTTACACAGAAAATAATAAATATAATCCCTGTAGGAGTGCATTCCTCAGTCATATGGGCTCTGACACTGAAAAGCTCAACTTTTTATTTATTGATATGAAATATCCTGTTCAGGACCGAAGTCCCTAGAGATGTTGTAATGTTGTTTTTGTTGCACCGCTGTAATATTTTAAATATTTTACCAGTGTGGTCAAAGCAAAAGCAGTGCAATTCTGCCAAGTGTGGAACTTTGTCTTGTATAATTTAGCATAAAAAACGCAACTTCTGCAGCAGGTTTCCCTGAAGTTCAAGCAAACCTCCTCGTTCTTCCTTTTCCAATGAAATGGAATTACTCACCGTGCTTCTCCTGGTTCTGTTACTGCCCAGTAATATCGGGTTAACTCCCATAAGCTATCAATAAGTAAACACCCTCAAAGAATTCATACGTTACCCTGGACGATAATGTGAACCGATGTGGTCCTGGGCCTGCTCCGGGTCTGTACGGCACAGATATATGGGCCTTCATCTGGTACGTCCACATTCTCGATCTTGATGGTGAACTCCTCTTGGGTCAAAGCGACCAAGGTCACCCTCGAATCGACAGACCATTTGTCTTCACCAGCGTACAGTATACTGGAACGGTTTAGCCAGGCTGTGTGGGTCACAGCGTTGCCCTGGGGACATCTGAAAGGAGAGTAGGGTGACAAGTTTGAATATTAAAGAATGGATGTTTCTTAGCATCAGTTCAGGGATGGTTTGTGATCTTTTTTTTTACTGATATGTGCAGTGATTTAAACAGAACATCAATAACCATAACAATGATTTTGTTCTTTTTGTTGTAAGGTTTGTGATCCTACATGAGTTATTAAATGGCTACAAAAAACTGCACTTATTCATCAAAATTACAATGAATCACAATTACAATGAGATAAAATGCAGATGCATCTGCCATCTGGGTAATATTACTGAGTCCACCCCCAAAAAAAGACATTTGATTTTGTGAGGCAGTTGCTGGTTAAGGAATATAGGTTCAATCTGTTGAGTGGTAACCCAAAGGTTCCTATCTCAAGCGTCAGGAGCGATTTTACCGTAGCTACTGTATCATGACCTGTAGCACCTTACTGTAACTAGATCAAAGCAAAAACAAAAGTGAAAAAGAAAATACAGCTGTAAAAATGTATCTTAGCTGTTTTGAAAAAGCACCAATAAATCCCTTGAAAGTGTTTTTTCCCCCAAAAGCTTAACACCCTGGTTTAAGAGAGCAATAAAAGACTGAAGAACTCGCGTACATCTAACCTTGGTTTAACACACGCATAAGAGGCTGGCTCCTTCATATCCTCACATACATTTTCCCCAAGGACTGCATTTTAGTTTTCATATTTTCATTGTATTTTTTTGTTAATGTATATTCTTACTCTGTCTGTGGGGATTTAAGTTCCTTATGTGTTCTGAAGGATGTTATATACATAATCCCTAAATTCATCTCATACATTAATGATTTCACGATTGAAGACTTTCCAGAGTTAACTGTCACTGAACAGTAAGAACTGTAACTATTAAAAAGTGGGTTAGTTACATAATATACATTAATATGTATTATGGATACTTACAAAACTAAAAAAAAAAAGCATCATGTATTGTAATAGAATAGAGTAATACTAAAACGTGTACTTTAGGATGAACGAAACATAGCTTACGTCGCAAAAACTTTGGCTAATGTAAAGTCTCGTCACCATGGCAACATCAGAGATCTTTAACATTTCAATATAGCATTTCTCCGCCCTTGGTACAGTACATGAACATCCCTGCAAGAAACAGATCGACGCAAAACGGCGGAGAAGGCGCACCGGACCCTGTCGCACTCGATACGTTTCATTCGGCCGGCTTAGAGGTGCCGGCGGAATTGTTGGGTCGACCTCGCGAACTGCCATAGCTCCGGCTTATGAAAGACGCCTCTCGTCTGAGCGGCTGTGAAAAGAGCCTGGCGAGGCCAAAACCCCAGAGCGTGCAGACACATCTAAACGGGAGTGTACCTTCAAGGGAGAGCATAGCTCGTACAGAGCAGCACTAATCACATATTATAACAATGCACCCTGCCAGCATTTACAGTGAAAGGGTACACACACACACACACATACACGCACACGCGCACACACATTTAGCTTCGGAAAAAAGTAAGAGACCACAGCAACATATTTTTTTTCAATTATTTCTCAGTTCAAGGGAATGCATTTGTGTAAAATATACATTTGTTTTGCAGCCTGGCTCCTCCCTGCTTATTGATGAAGGGCTGCTTTCTTGCTTTGTGGGTGTTTAACGGCTTATAGGAGTCCTAACTGTCCTACCAGTGCACTTCACACCACTTTATGCTTCCCATTCTTTTTGATCATCTCTGGCATTAGAAAGTCACTCCGCCCCTTGACCTGCTTGGTCTTTGGCCGTTCCCAGTGTCTCCTGTTTCAACTTGTTCTTGTGTACTGCTGTCTTAGAAGCTTTGAGCCCGGAAGCAGCCTGCCTCGCAGCGTAGCCTTCTGCCAGCAGAACCAGGATTAAACCCGGATTTATCAATGTAGATCCTGGAGGCTACAGGTGCAAGAACAACCCAGGATGGAGTGCCAACTCATCACGCATACCATTCACTCACACTCGCACACCTATGGGTAATTTGATAACTCCAATAAGCCTCAGCATGGTTATGGACTGGGGGGGGGGAGAGACTGGAGCACCTGGAGGAAACCCCACAACTACACAGGGAGAGCATGCAAACTCCACACACAAGGAACCCTGGTCCCAGAGGTGTGAGGCTAACCAGTGCTAACCAGTGCACCACCATGCTGCCCTATATATATATATATGGGTGGATATATTGTTGGCTGATTGGTTTTTAAAAATAATAAACTAAGATTATGTCCATCCATCAATCCAGACACCCAACCAATCAGCAATCTTCCAACCCAAGGGCACCATCTTCTGAAGGGGCACCAACTTAGCAAACCTCCGGTGCCAACCCTGCTTCTCCAAGCAAACTTCACCGCCCAAAAGAAGGCGATCAAAATGAAACTGGACGGTGAAGTTTGCCACCAATGCAGCCTGCCTACAGCACCACATGGCTTTCAACCAACACTGACAAAGAGCTTAGACCCCACGTCAGACAGCGTAGGGCGTACACTGGCAATGGATGGGATGCCAGTCTGTCGCAGGCCAAACTGTAATCATGGCAACCATAGATATCTACATTGCTAATCCTATAATTTATAAATATTCACCTGTTACTGGTTAATGTAGAAGATCCTGCTACATGTTTGGCACAGTTTCCCATGATAGTGCGATAAGCACTTCCTCATTATGGTAAGTTTTACATTTCCCCCCTTCCAAAGGTCAACCTGTAACTCGCAAGGGATACATCGGAAGTGAACGCAGCCGAGCGCCTTTATTTAGCTGCAAGTGGAGAAACCAAGGGCATCTATTATCAGGGGGGCAGGGGAGGAACTATTTCAAGTCTGCAACATTCAGGGCACCACCAAAGGTAAGATGTAAGACGCAACGGAATGGAAGCGCTTTCGTGTAATAAGGTAACGATGCTGCACAGAAAAAAAAATCCCATTTATTTGTTTATAAATGCATTTGCAAATCAGAGGCAACGTAAAACTTGGTAATGAATCCCTATGGTAAATATCGGAATAGGGGGGCATGAGGAATTGTCACCAAGAATAACCAAATAAGATACATTGCAAGGCGTGAAATATTCAAGGCTGCATGGGAAGATACATTATCGGAGCTTCAAGGGCGCGCTACATGCAAAGTAGGGCATTTTCCTGTAAATAAATGTGCGCCAAAGTGATTATGCTTAAAAACAAAATGAAAAACGGGATGTTTTCTTAAATGCAAATAAAAAATGGATTTTATTTTATCATTATAAACTGCAAAAGAAGCTAGCCGCTGCACACCGTAGATATTGACTGTTGCTGCTACATTTAATAGCTGACGTACTCCCTCCCATAGTGAAGCGTGGACACGTGATGCAATTCACACCGCAGTGTTTATTCATGTCGACAGGCATCATTTATCTAGTGTATATTAGCAAAGTTCACCAACATCAAATTGCTGCAATTTGTTTAAACGACTCTGCAATTGTAGACACCCCGGTTTAATATATTAGTTAGTTAGTTCATATTAGTTATTCACCTAAGAATAAACAATCGCTGAGGAAAAGCTGCATCACAATCAAATCTCCCTGAGTAACTTTAATGCCATTAATCAATTCGCAGGTGTTTAAAATGTTTCATTACATAATTTTTAATCAGTTGGCATCTAAAACGCTGATAAAAATTAATCGCCACGGGAAATTACTTAAATCATAACTGCAAAGACTCCTCCCGTCACACATAAACACATAACATTCTGCTTTACCATAAACATTTTAATCAAGCAAGCACTAGCACTATTAAAGATTCAAAACTTTATATAATGGAACATTATGAAATACAACTACTTCCTAATCACATTAATGATTATAATTGATTTAATCGTTATTTTTTAAAAAAATTAGAATTAAGTAACTTTTTCCCGTATTCAGTAAAAATTTGACAGCTTTTGTACTTTTTCGTCAATGGACACTTCAGAAGAAAATTTAATTGTTCAAACATTCAAAGGGGATTACTTTCGTGCATAAAAATGAATTAAAATCAGAATTATCTGAAAGAATACATAAAAATTCAGTTAGTTTCTTCATTTAAGTCTAACTACAAGCGAAATGCTTGTTTCGTATTGCATGCATATTTTATATGTGGCTGGTGGCCATTCGAATGTGCGAGGCATTTTTAAACAAACGCGTGCTTTTAAAATAAAACTCACTCCAGGGGAATATCAAACAAACGTTAAGCAAATCCAAACTCATTACTATGTGTTTTTTAGCTTAATTCAGTCTGATTGAAAAACACGTGGATTTCAGTTTCCATCATTCAGATGTCTAAGCGAGTTTGGTCTCACGGGCGGGCAGACCGAACCAGAATCGCAGGTAATACACAAACTTCAATCTATTTTCCTCCTACCATAACCAACCTCACCTGTCTTCACTCAGCACTATGCTTCATCATACCTTCTGCCTCAGCAGGGACATCTGTGGGTGTTACAACATTTTACCCAATAATACATTTTGATTAAATGAGATTTCTGTAATGGAATGGTAAATGGACTACATTTATATAGCGCTTTTTTACTCTTACGAGTACTCAAAGCGCTTTACAATTTATGCCTCATATTCACCCATCCACACACACACGCCGGTGGTGAAGGCTGCCATGCAAGGCACCAACCTGCACACTGGGAGCAATTTGGGGTTCAGTGTCTTGCTTAAGGACACTTTGATGGGGAGAGGAGGAACCAGGGCTCGAACCTGCAACACTCCAGTTGCCGAACGATAGCACTATCTCCTGTGCCACCATCTTCTGTAATGGAATGATGTTACTGTGACGCTGACTACCAGAATTCATCCATCCATCCATTTTCTATACCCACATGTCCTGTTCAGGGTCATGAAGGTCTGGAGCCTGTCCCAGAAGCTACAGGTGCAAAGCGGGTAACGACTCAGGATTGGGTGCCAACCCATCGCAGGGCACAAGGCAGGGAACAACCCAGGATGGGGTGCCAACCCATCGCAGGGCACAAGGCAGGGAACAACCCAG